GTGTCCGCTATCGTCGTTCTGCATTTTATTGCGAACACGCCACCTCCTGATCCCCCGTCGAATCCGCCGCCGCGGGCGTCACTGAAGGTCTCCTCCTCCTTCTTCCAGTCCGCGAACAGATCCGCCGACATGTTCGTCGCTTTCTTCCCCTCTGATACACGGGATCTCAAAACTAACTTGAACTTTGTATGGTGTAACCTTTTAGATTTGTGTAACCCTTGGTTTTCACTTTAGTGACGGGGTACGATTGAGGTTTTTATCCAATAGGCTTCACTATCGAAATGGAGAATGCTGACCCGGCGAAGTATATCTCGGGCGCCCAGGCCCTGCTGAATCAGCTCAAGGTCCAGAAAGCCGAGGTACCTGACGAGATCTCACGCGTGCAGGAACTGGTGGAGTGTCTGGACAACAATGCGCAGAAGATTGATGTGTCCTGCGGATCTGTAGAAGAACTTGAAGCTTGGTAGGCTGTCGTCGCGTGCAGCTTGATGTTGGCGCTGAATTGAGCGCCGCGAAAGAGAAATCCCAGCTCTTCTTCAATCGGTCGCCAGTATTCCGCTGTAATTCCGAGCTTCACCACAGAGCATACGAAGAAATAAACACATTCGAAGAAGCGCTCGTCCTCTTTGTGGTTCTCGTAGTTGCTACAGTGAAGCACCAATCGCGCGTAGGTGGTAGACATGGAGGTCGTGCAACTCTTGTGCGTCTCCATAGCTAGCTCAAGTCGCTCCTTCAATTCAGCTAGTGCCTGTTGCTGATCATCTTCGTCTCTTTCCTTCATTTCACTGTCATTGCAGCGCTTCCTGTCTTGCAACATTTGTCTTAACTCTTTCTCCAACGTCTTCACCTTTACGAACGCCAACGAGTAGCCGATCGCCGCTCGAACAAAGAGGAACATAACATCTAAACATAACATGGTACAGGTAGTGGCAGCTTTATGGTGGTCATCCGCTGGCTTGTTCCAGCTCTGCATGTATTAATAATGCTCTTTTCATCCAATTGAAAACCTCTTTCACCAATTTCCCACCAATCGCAGCCACTCCACTCTCAACATTAAGGGTTCCCTCAATTGTCCATGACGTCGCGGGAAGATGCCTCTGGACCGCTGTCGATGTCCCCAGCGCCATCTCCGACCTCATCCACGTCGTCTACATCGTCCCTAGATGCTCTTCTCGCCACTGAAGATCCCAATCCGCTGCTGCCGCCTCCCCAAATGACCGCACATCGCGTCATTTACGGCCGCAACGTCATCCAAGTCCCGCTTAAGCAGTCAGAGACCAATGAGTATGTGTACTTCATTCAATTTTTAGCGGTAAGTAAGCACAATGACTCGCTTAATTCATGGGGTGGTGTTGAACTCTGGCGGCTCATAAGCTATATGAACGGGAATTGCAATCGGTGTCTGTATCTGTTCCATATTCGATTCTATGACAACCACCCATTGTTTCGGTATCAGCATCACCAGTCACATCTGGTATTACAAAGCTTATGAGCACTAAGGTGTAATTCACTGCAAGTTTGATATGGATTGGCCCTATGGTGTCCATTTAATACGTATGAAGACAA